AAAAAAAAAAAAAAAAAAAAAAGATAAAAAGGTACAAATATTCGCATAAAGTCATAACAAAATATTAAAAATTAAAATGATATATTTAAATGATAAATATTGTAAAAATTAATTTATTTATTTTATGCTACTTTATAAGGATCTCGACAAATGGGCTCATTACGCTATCTCCTAGCCTTACAGCCATATTTCTACAGACATACGGGCCATTTGTTCTGCTGTCCAACCACTGTACTTTAAGTCCAATATATAAAGCCCACCCAAAATGAGCATTTTATCACGACCAATCCATTTTAGCTCATAAGCCTATTTGAGCGTCACATTGTGCATTTGCCCCTTGCGACTCTCTCACTCTTAGCACCCTCAGAAGTCGGAGGAGCAGCAACCAGCAATGGTGAGGAAATGGAGAACACACACACACACACACACAATGATTTTGTTTTTCTTTATTTATTTATCCTTTTAGTGTCGTCTTCCTTTATATTATCGAGATAAGTGATGTTGTATCACTTAGGGTTTTAAAATTTTTCTGTGTGTGGATGAATTTTATCTATCGTCCTTTTAGATTGATTTAACCTGTTTTAGGGTTAGTTCATTCTTAGCGGGTGTTTTCTTTTTCCTCCAAATTTTCTGCTTTTTTTTTTTTCTGTGGTTTGGCACACTGTTTTTCATGGCATTTGTTGTTGCTTTAAACGATCTGAAATATTTGTTTCTAGTAATTTTATGTCTGTCCATTTAGCTATCCTCAGTTTTTTATCCACTTTTACAGGATTTTGGTGGTTTGTGTCAGTGATATATCTGGGCTAGCTAATTGTTGGTAACAAATGATTTAGATATTTATGTTGTTTGCAGGCGTTTGTCAAGGCCCAGAAATCAAACGCCTACTTTAAGCGCTTTCAAGTCAAATTCAAGAGAAGGAGACGTGAGTAATCTGTAGCTACTTTTGCTTTTCATGTTCTAGTTATTAACACCTTTTTGACACTGATAATTTCTATTTCAGAGGGGAAGACTGACTACCGAGCTCGTATTCGCTTGATCAATCAGGACAAGAATAAGTACAACACTCCAAAATACCGATTTGTTGTGCGATTTGTATCCTGATGTGCATTATTTGTTTCTGGTTAATTTTATTTCTCTTATTCTTCTAATATGTGAGCGGGTTTACTTGTTTCATGGTTGCTTAACTTTAATTCAATAGTATGTGTCTAAAATTTTTGTCGGCCTTTGTAATTGAAAAAAGTTGTGAATGGTTTTGCATTTTGAGATGAGCAAATACTCCATGGTGTGTACCTTAACATTATTCCTAGACCAACAAAGATATCATTGCCCAAATTGTGTCTGCTAGTATCACTGGTGACCATGTCCTTTCTGCTGCTTACGCACATGAGCTGCCTCGTTATGGCCTTGAAGTGGGCCTCACCAATTATGCTGCGGGTATTATCATTTATTCTCTTGATCAAACCACTGAGTAATTGTCTTTTTTATTTTCTCTATTTTATTGATTTTAGAAATTGATGCTTTCTTTTTGAACCAGCATATTGCACTGGACTTCTTTTGGCTCGACGAGTCTTGAAAAAGCTTGAGATGGACCAAGAGTATGAAGGAAATGTTGAGGTAATGCAATTATATGCCCAGTGTTCTAAATCTTAAAGTGTACATTCTCGTGTGCTTGTACACGAACAATACTTATTGTACTTGATATCTTTGAATATTAATGATTGATGCTTTGTGTCTTTTCAGGCCTCTGGAGAGGATTACTCTGTTGAACCTGCTGAAACCAGAAGGCCTTTCCGTGCACTTCTTGATGTTGGTCTCTTGAGGACTACAACTGGTAATCGCGTCTTTGGTGCTCTCAAGGTACAATCTGATTTGCTTGCAATTTTACTCAAACATGTGTGGGTACAAGATTTGTGTTAAGACTGTTTTCCCCCGATCAAAACAAATATAATCTGTAGCTGCTTAGTCAATATGTGCTAGTAATCTAATGTGTATCCAACTAAATTCCATTATTCATAATTTGGCCTTCTGTTACACAGTTGCAGTATATAATATTTCAGATAGTCAAATGTATCATAAATGAAATACCATGCAAGAAGTATGATGAGGCCGATTTAGATAATTTATTTTTGAAATTTTGTTGTTATTTCCCTGGAGCAGGGTGCTCTAGATGGTGGACTTGATATTCCCCACAGTGATAAGAGGTTTGCTGGATTTAGCAAAGATAGCAAGCAACTCGACCCTGAAGTGCATCGAAAGTACATCTATGGTGGCCACGTTGCTGCTTACATGAATGTAAGCCTATCATTCTCCTTTCCTTTCTTGGCATGGCTTGACTATGCTTTTATTTATCGCATGTGTCGTTTAACAACCAACTTTCAATGATTGGACGCCCTCTCGGAACAATAAATTAAACATGTTTATTTTGAGTATTGCAGACTTTGATGGAAGATGAGCCTGAGAAGTACCAATCTGTGTTTAGCCAGTATATTAAAAAGGGTATTGAAGCTGATAACATTGAAGCTTTGTACAAGGAGGTCCATGCAGCCATTCGTGCTGATCCCACAGAAAAGAAATCTCAGAAGCAGCCTCCAAAGGAGCATAAGAGGTATGATATTGTTTAAACAAGAGCAGAATTTTAACATGCATGTCAAGTTTCGTGCTTATTCTTTTGAAGGAATTAAGAATTGTGCATTGTTTGATGATATTGTTTAAACAAGAGCAGAATTTTAACATGCATGTCAAGTTTCGTGCTTATTCTTTTGAAGGAATTAAGAATTGTGCATTGTTTGATTTTATGTCATGTTGTGTTCCTTAACAACTTTATCTGTGTTTACATAAAATTGATCTAGTGTTATTCTGAATTCTTGACTGCATGAGTTTCTTGCACTGCAATTGCAGATTCAACCTGAAGAAGTTGACGTACGAGGAGAGGAAGGCCAAATTGATCGAGAGGTTGAACGCTCTGAATGCTGCTGCAGGAAATGATGACGATGATGAGGATGACGATGAATGAACTTCATCTGATTTAGAATTTCGAATGCTGCTGCTGCAGGCGAGGAGATTTGAATTTCGTTTTGTTCAATGGGAGATACCTTTGTTGTGTTTCAGTTCATAACTTTAATTTATCAACAGTTTTGACCTTTTAAAGACTTTGTTTGGCGAAATTCCAGCATTTGTGATGAATCTCTTCTATGCTTATGGTTTGGGGCGAGCCTTGTTTTGGTTTATTTTCATGAGTTAAGCTGCCACTAGAGTTGGACTAATTCTGATGTCTTTAGCAATTTGATATGCTGACAGGAGTAGGTTTGGTGATTTAAATTAGCTGCTAGCTTGACAATTCATAGAAGTATATCATTACACGAGAATTTAAATATTATATATGACATTTTCCTTCATACAATTATT